TTGCGACCATGTCAGGCGCAAATAGGAAATATGAGTTGCGACACATTTTTAACCGCCATGCTGTGCACAGTTGAGCGATTCATTATGGGAAAACGGCACTCAATTGAAAAAGGAAAGTCGATTCAGAATAAAAAAGGTGCATCATCCTAATGTGCATCGCTTTACATCAGAGAGGGGCCGAGGGCCCAAACACACACGTTTTGGATAGGAAACTCGTCATTTTTATTTAAACTCACCTGAAACGTCCCACCAGAAACATCGACAACCGGAAAATAATTTAATTTGATAACCAAAGTATGGCTGACCTTTTGACGATATTTTTACCCCGTTTTCTCCTGCCAGTTTTTCTGTAGGGAGGTAGGTCGCAAATCGGAAAGGGTCGCTAATTAGGCACCTTACCCTACATCTCCCTCCAACACACCGCTATCTTCTCCGCTGTCACGACTCACGGTTGAAATGGAGCGAACAGCGAGTCACGGACCGAAACGGCCAAGGATTGTTTATTATTCACGCAGTCCCCGTGGCCTCCCCGCCCGCTGGCAACCAGCCAATATTGACCTCGGTCGACCCTGACCCAGCCTAGCAACAGCTGACGCTGACTCGCGGGTCAGCCGGCCGGCCGAATCCGCCCGACATCACATCACTTCTGCCCCCATAGCAAAAGTTTGACCACTGATGCCCAGCTAATTCTTTCGGGAACCGTTTGTGAACGTTCTCAGGCTCATTTTAAGCCATTCGAATTTTGGGGGGTGATTGATGATTTTTTTGTAGGCCTTTGTCAAGTATGCGATGAGTGAAAATGCGGACTGTGATGCATGTGCCCGAACATTGCTAATTAGCATGGCATTAATGACGAGCTAAAACATTATTTTTGATACCAAAATTTTCAGCACGAACCATGCAACACAGCGATGCCCATTTATTGCGGTTTCGATCAAATTATTACAATGTTACAGTCACTCAAAGTTGCGCGCGTTTCACATGTCTTTTGGGTCTACCACGCGCTTCCGAAGAAGTTCCAGGTTCACGACTGCGGTGAGCGGAGATCAGGTGGTTAAAAAATAGGCCGAAGGTGATTTCAGATGCTTCAATCCGTTTTGTGTTAAGAAATCACTCACTGAAGGAATTTAAAAATGGTCATTATTCGAGGTTTTGGCCACATTTGAAATTGCGATGGATCTGTGTGGGGGGGGGGGGCGGGTGGCGAGGTCACGGTGCGGGTGACCTGTCACAGCCCCGGCGCGGTGGGGCACTGCCGTAGGCAAATGGCGCACTCCAGTGTTGTTCCATATCGCGGTGGTGGGCCGGGCGGCCGGTTAGCTTGGCAGCTTGGAAGGAAAGGATAATGAAGCATGGTTTTGCTGTGGCCGGTTCACCTACTGTTACTTATGATGCACCCAGAGTAATGCAAATGTGGCGTTGATAATGCAGCTGGCAATGGAATGCTAGCGAATGCTCCGAGCGCCTAGCTATAAGGATTAAGATTATTTATGTCTCCTGAAATTTTCATTGAATATAATTCAAGCACTAGAGAGATCGTATTCGTTCGCCAGTTTTTTGACCGGCTGGCGTTTCTTGCGTATAAGAGCGCCCTTGGGCAAAGATTTAGGTATAACGCAGGTGATTCTTTCTTTTTTGCTGGTGAGACGCCTTTAGGGTCAAATCAAGCAGTGGCGGCGGAACACCTTTAATGAAGTGGGGGCACTGCCGACTTTTGGTCCCATTCTTTCCATGCAACGCCCATAGGGCTAATGTTAAAATGCCAAAATCAAACGGGGGCACGGTGCCCCGATGCCCCCCTCCCCACCCCCCCACCCCGTTCCGCCACCACATGAAATCAAGTCGCTAAGAGACGATGAGGAAAAGTGGACGAACGCCACATTTCTGTGCATGAAGTCTCGAGTTATAAAAAGCTAAAAGTTATTTTACGCGTGTAAGCTAAAAAACAATAAGATCAGTTAATAAAAATATTTGACCCGAAATTAACTTCTGTTTTGTCTGACCATGATTCCATGTATGACCCCGGTCCAGCCTGGTTCAACTCGGCCCAACCTGGTTGGCTCCCCCTTGTTAATATAAATTTGGCCCGAACCTTTTGAATGGAAGGAATCACAAGGACAGAGTCCCCGCTAAGCTGAGCTTGTTAAGCGTTGAAACCTGCCATCTACCCTCCGATCAAGCAATTCCTGGTCTATTGCAGACTATGGTTTTGAGGTTTAGTCTATGGCAAAATGGTCTGTGGTTTAGAGTCCAAATTTTAACGTGCGCACATAGCCGCGCACGGCCGGTTCCCTCGCCGACTTCGCCTAGCAGCGGCCTGCCACCAACCACAACCATACCCGTCAGGAGGCTAAAAAACGTCAAGCACACGTCGTGTTTCGAACACGGACTTTTGCAACCGGGACGTGCGCCTTCACCAACGCTCTACCGACCGAGCTACCGGGACGGACATTTACCTTGGGGTTTCGCCTCGTGACATTTATCGGGGTTACATGAGCACAGTAAATACGTATTTAGCCGCTAATTCGAATTAGGAACGCATTACCGACTCATGTAGCCACCTGCTAGTACGAATCGGCGATCCGATCCGCGGTTACATGAGCAAAGCAAATACGTATCACGATCGGATTCACCGCTAATGCGAATCAGGAGCGTACTACCGACTCATGTATCCACCTGCTAATACGAATCGGCGGTCCGAACAAAATCCGCTGAGAAAGAGGCTTAGAAGCGAATAGGACCAAGATACGTATTACAGGAACTATTTCTTCGCAAAAAGAAACATTAAAATGCAAAATAATAGGTATTTTTTTCATTTTCTTCTTTTGAAATAATATTAAAAAAATATGTCGGTATTTTGCCAAGTTTTCAACAATAAATATAGTGAAAACCAAATAGTAAATATCCACATAATTTCAGTAGAAACATTTTTCTGACAGCACTACAGACGAATCAAGAGAGGCAATTGCCCAATGAGTCAAAGCAAGACAACTTTATGTTCAACTTTTTTTGTTAAGTTAATTGAGAATGTTTTGAGCAGATTAAATGCAAAAAAGACATAAGATAATAAATTTTTAATTTAGTCACCTCTATTGCTACGGAAGTGCGCCACATTTGTATGCTATTCCGTTTGTAATGCGCATCGGGCCGAGAGCCAAACTAGATCCGTTTGACGTCACTGATACGAATTTGCTCATGTAGTCGGTGCACTGAATGCGTTCTTGGGGAGCTGATGCGAATTAGCGTAGTGCGTATTTGGAACGGATCGCTCATGTAACCGAAACGTCCGAGGCACACGATTCGGGCCGTATTTCACAAGAACTATTCTTTGCTGACTGGAAGCGTCAAAATGCAAAATACTTAACAATTTTTTTATTGGCTGCCTCGTAGAAAATAGCAAAAAAATGTTGGTATTTTGGTTTAGTCTTTGCATGTGAAATAAAATGAATGAAATATTTTGATAGATAATTTTTTCTGACCACCCTGCTGTCGCTGCATGGCGAATCAGTGCCCACTGACGTAAAACAAGAAAACTTTGTTTTCATTTTTTGATTTCATGTTAATTTTAAATGTTTTTGAGCCTATCAAATGATATAAGTATTTAAAATTTAGCTCAGTCGTCCCGGTAAATGCCGCAACTGCGCCATGACTGTACGCTAATCCTATTCCGTTTGTGATGCGAATTACCGGCCGTCGAGGAGTCAGCCCGGGTGAGCCAAACAAGATCCGTTTGACGTAGATAAAACGAATTAGTCTCATGTAACCGGTGCCGTAGATCCGTTTGTGGGGAGCTGATGCGCATTAGCGTAGTGCGTATTTGGAACGGATCGCTCATGTAACCCCGGTAATTGACAGACGTCAGACACTTTGGCCGAACTTTAGCCGAAACACTGAGCAAGCTGCGCAGGGCGATAGGTGCTCGTAGCGTTGAGGTTGGGTAACCTGTGAGCTGAACACGATGTCGCGAGTTTGAGCCCCACTCCCGGGTCTGGTTTTATCTAGACACAACCAAAACCTTTCCTTCTACTGCAACACAGCTAAGCACGATGGCATCTTTCCCCAATATCTTTCCCCAATATCCTCCCCAAAAGTCAAAATTATCGCTTATAAACGTTTAGCTAAGTTTCATTTTTTAGGAAAATATTTTTGGTCATTTGTCTGGAGCCATTTCAACTCTTTTTTCTTTTCTGATTCTTTTCGACCCGATAAAACCCACCAAAACTGAACATGCCAAATGAAAAATATCTAACTCAAATAACAGTTTAGAAAAGCCTCATCATGCATCATGAAAAGCATCATGCAACTATCGACTGAAAAGTTGCATGCTATGAATACGTCCTAGATTGTTTCAATTATCATTGTTCAACATTTTGGCTGGAACTGACGCTGCCTCTGGCTTGCCCGTTTGTTTGAGATAATGATTCCCTTCAGTCGCGTTCTTGCCGGTTCCACATGAACAGGATACCACCATACCGGAGTGAACGCACCCGCAACCATCATCCCCTCCACTCAGCCTCGGCGCAGTGGCGGGCGGCCCTGGGCGGCCCACTCCCGGCGCTACGCACGCCCCATGCGCCGTGATACCGCGTCACTCCCCCTCCCTCCTTCCCCCACAATGACCGGTGACCTCACTTCCCTCGGGATTTGGACTCGCCCTACCCCGACCGTAGCGCCACGTGGTGGCTCTGGAGATCTTAAATAGACCCACTGTACATTTGAGTAGGTAGGTATCAGTTTTGGTGATGTGGGGGAGTGGGCGAGGGCACCATTAGCGGAAAAGTTTTACTTGAGTCAGGACCCAGCCAACCCACACTCCCCACATATTATCAGCACATGTGCCGCGGCTGATGGCTCGCCACGGCCGACTGACTGCTCGTGACCCAGTCCGTCGATGGCCGTCCCGCGCCGGTTACCCACCACTGAACAGACGGAGGGGAAAGCTGGACACGTACCCTGAGCTGCAGGCCGGCAGCCGTACCGCTGTTCCAGGCACAGCCAGCCGCCGAATCAAACGTGTATTTAAAACTCACCGGCAAAAACATTGTGAAACAAAACAGCGCCATCACCAACAATTAACAAAAGTTTACATGTAATGAAGATGACCAAAAGAAAAAAATAAATAAACAAATAAATAAATACCACAACAAATGTACTTAGTTCAGTCATCATGGTTCAGTAGTAAGCAAGAGAGAAGCAACACTTCGGCACAGCAGCATTGTGCAGCGCCGGTACTTAAATATCGGTCATCTCGAAATTTGTCATCCGAACGACACAATCAAGTCATTTCAGAAGCCATTATGACGACATTTCCAACAAACAAATACAGCCCTGTGTAAAGTACACTGTCTATAACAGTCAATAAACAATCCAGCAGTCCAGCCTCGAGTCGGGGGTCCGATTGTAGGGCGGGCAATGCGGCCAGAGGCCAGGAACCCGCAGCTCAGAGCCACCGCCGGGCCAAGGCTGCCACACGGCGTGTGCATTGCACGCCTGAGTAAATCCCGCCGGATACAGATCAACAAGGCTTACTATGGAGATTCACGCACTGTTCAGTGCTCAGTTAGGGACACTAGTCAGCTGCTCGAGGTGGGACGCGCGGCTGTGCCCTCTGTCGGGGCCCACATTGTGCAGCTGGCCAGAACCAGCACGCTCAGCTCGTGCGTCCGCAAACACTCCAACTGGACAAACAACAAACACTTGTGCACTTGTGATGGAAGACACTTGGCATGTTGGAAGCACGAACAATTTAGTGATAGTCGCGAGATAATGTCAAAGCCGGCGGATTGCTTCCAAAGCCGAGGTCGACAACCCATCGGGATTTGACCAATTGGTCATAATCCTCATTCTTTGCCGTAAACAACGATACCTTGAGCAACGATGCGACAACGATTATAAAATACCAGGCGTGGTAAAGGGAGCCCAAGTGCGATTTGACACCTATGAACATAACAGTAAGTGCACGTAACAACAGTCACATATCAAGAACATGGTAAATGCAAGACACTCAACCGCCGACGCAACAACGACAAAGACACGCCGACGCATTCAACAAACAGTAGAAAACTTATAAATATCTATCAAAGTTCAGCGCAGCCTAAGTAGCCACTTCTAATATAAACCCTTCTACCAAAATAGAGGCGATTTCTGAAATCCATATGACCTGGCTAGTCGCTTTGCGAAGTTATACGTGCTCAACGTTCCCCTATTATACTGGCGTCCTTAGCAAAAACAAGTTTACGTACTATAATGCTTGCTAATAGGTAGTTCCCACAGTTTCAACAGCTTCTTTCCTATTTGTTAGCTGTAAATTAAACGAAATGTTTGTACAAAAACGGCACGTAAGGTCAATGTACGAAGCGCAGTACAAACCACAAACCCTCATATCTGGTGAAAAAAGAGCGCTAACAGGTGGTTGCAGGCTTCAGTGCCATCCTAAACAACTCATTATGTATCACAAGAGCTGCCGAAAACGGTACAATCGGCAGAGCTAACACATTGAGATTTCACTGACCTAGGAGCCACACTGAATTCTGAAAGCACCACGATGTGAGCCTGATAAACACATTCCAGCTAGGAGTTGCTTTGCGTCTCCATACAATTTTAATGAAATTGAGTATACTCGTTATCCGGGCATGCTTTATAAGCTATCGACCCAAAAATAATTATGTATTGCATTGCAATTACGATTTCTTACCCAATCAGATGCAATTATCGCTTTAAGATATCAAGGGACTCTTCGTCACACAGATAATCCGTCGGTTTGGGAAAACCTACGCAAGTGAGCCAACTGATACTTCTCCAAAAGGTAGGGCGAGGGGGGCCCCGGTGTTCCCCTGAGTCCCCGGTGGTCCCCAGAGTTCCCCAGAGCCTAGAGAGAAAGACAAGGCGTTCCCGCTCAGGCGGCAGCCGACCTCGGCTGGACCTCACCGTTCCGCTCGATGGTGTAGCGCAGCTCCCGCACCACCTGGTACGGGTCGAGCGCGATGGCGCTCAGCGCGAACATCTCGATGGCCGAGAAGTCGGTGCGCACGGAGGTGCAGTCGCCGCGCGGCACGAGCCGGGCCAGCGCCGGGAGTCGGCCGGCCGGCTCGGCCAGCGCCGGCAGCGCCAGGCTGCTGCTGTGGCAGAGCCGGCCCAGCCGGCGCTCCACGGTGGCCACGGCCAGCGCGTACAGCCGCGTGAAGTCTGCGTCCGGCTCGGCCGACACCACCCAGATCTCGGCGTCCAGGACCGGGTCCACGGCGGCGAACGCCACCGCCGCGCCCAGCCGCGCCGTCAGGCCCAGCGCCGCGTGCGCGCGCACCAGCGCAGAAAAGTAGTTGTCCTGCGGCCAGATCTCGGAGAAGAGCAGCGCGGCGCGCCGCTGTCGCTCCCAGCCGGCCGAGTAGTGCGCCGGCGACAGCATCACGTGCACGTGCGGGTGCACCTGACTGGCGCCCGCGTGCTGGCCCACGTCCCACATCAGCGTGGGGAAGCGCAGCTGGGGACGGCGCGACTGCTGGTCGCGGCTCCAGCGCTCCGCCAGCGCCACCATGTCGGCCCGGCCCTCGACCGTCAGCCGCAACGGGCTGTGCTCGCGCGACAGCACCAGCGCGTGGCCGCCGTCCAGCTTCAGTGTGTTGCCCACGACGGTGGAGAGCGGTGAGTCGAACCGGCCGGGCGGCTCGCCGACCAGCGCCGTCATGGTGCGCCACTGACAGAAGTCGCAGCTGCCGCGCGTCTCCTCGGCCAGCGCGTGCAGCTGCTCGCGCGCCGACGGTCCGGCCGACGGCAGCTGCGGCCGGAACGCGCGCACCGGGTTGAAGGCCACCTCGTGCAGCACCAGGTTGTTTGTGACGTGCAGGATGCGCTGGTGTCGGACGATGTCCATCAGCTGCTCCGAGCCGCCCACCCACGTCAGCACCTTGGCCAGGAACGGCGCCGGCAGCGTCACGTTGGCCTCACGCTGCTCCACCGTGAACAGGGTGTTGAGCCAGCCGGCCAGCGCGCGGCACTCGGGGTGCTCGGCGGTGTGCAGCATCTCCAGGTGGGCGGCCAGCTCAGTGAGTGCCGGGCGCAGCTGACCACCCAGGCAGGTGGCGTTGTACCAGTCATCCTCCCGGTCCGGTGGCGAGTACTCACTCCACACTGGGTACTGGAATGGCCTCAGGGCCGCCAGGGTGCTGCGAGATGGCGGAGGTGGTGACAGCTCCTGCACAGCCGTCATAGTCAACACAGTGGTGCAGACGATCAGCAGTGCTGTGGCCAGGGTGCGCCAGAACCAGCGCTGGGCCAATGTCCGCTGACGCCACATTTCTCTGGAACAAATGGACCAATCACATCAAAGGGTGATTAGGCAGCCATTTTACATTTTAAAACTTCCGCATTGGGACACTGAGTCAACCTCAGACTATTACATGTAACTTGTAAGGGAAGGTTAGGTACGTACCTAAGGTCTGAGGTCAGGTTACATAATGTTTATTTCTTTATCCTTGTTGAAAACAGCCATTCAAGATTGAGATATTTTCCGGATTGAGATGAATATTTCTCCTGGAATCCTTTGGAATTGAAGCGACCTGGATTAGAAGCACAGTACCTAGGTAGGAACGTACCGTCAATGATGCTCACCTGAAATGTCGCTTACAGAGTGGAAGAAGGAAGATTCTTCAGAAGCCTACCTAGGGCTATCACCCTGGAGCAAAGCCCTTTAGCAAAGCAGCACTGTTGCTTCGCCCGCCACAGCACAGGTATATAGGGCCTTGCAGCACATAATCTCGCCACGACCCCATATATTTGAAAATAGGTCAGTGAAAGCTCTCATACATCTTCCAAATCCACAGCCCTCTGAGGGACGCCGGTGAAAACAGGGCGCCGGAGGGCATACTAGTCACGTGATATTTGGAACTTCTCCCGCTCCATGGGCCTTCTATATCCCAAATGTCACGTGTAAATTTAACGAACTTTGATCAAATCGCCCCAGGCGCCCTGTCTTCACCGTCGTCCCCTCTGAGCCTCCGATCCCAATCCTAATCCGATCAAAGCAAAGTTTTCGCTAGCACGCTTGATGAGGCTAATGACGTCATTTAATTTTGTTTTTGCTAAAACGCAAGCTAAAACGTTTCTTTTTACCTTTTTCAGGCATTTATTCGTAAAAACACTTCTCTGCTTGGAAACAAAAATCAGTTGAGTGAATGAGAATATCATAATTCATGCTTGAGTGGTTATCAGAAAGAATGATCATAGAAATGACATGATAGGCATTTGAAAAGTTGCTCGCATCCTACCTTTCGAAAAATAGTGATTTTAAGTCTGCAAAAATGGGTTTGAGGAGTTTATTTTTTGCATTTATAATTTTGCGTGTGTATTTGGCACGCTTCTCTGGTAAAATACTTGTAAAAACCCAGGAAATTCCAAACTAAAATAAACTCTTACTATGACGTAACATAAAAAGCTGTTTTCATCAAACGTTAAAATTTGGCATCGCCTTGAATCATTACAATTTTTGCGCAGCCGTTACATGAAATGGTTTCGCAGTCAGCGATTTTTAGGTACTGCCCAGAGCGCTGTTCGGCAGCCGGCTATTTTGTGTGCAGGGTATGACGTATTTCGCGAGCCGACGTCACAGGCGGTGACGTCGGCTCGCGCGCGAGCCGAGCGCCAACGACAAACTAACGGGAACCCTCGGACACCCTCGGGGCATAAACCGCGGAGTAGCATATTGAGCGAATCTTATAAGGAAAATTAATATATTTTCGTTTCTCAAATGATAATTAGGGTGTCTCTTACCTTTTTACATATCATTTAGGCTTACCTAACACTTCAGTTGCCAAATATCTGCAATTTATTCAAGCGAAGGTATTTTCAATAAATATTTACTTACTTACAGCTTCTCGAGATTTTGTCAGGCCAACTAGGCCTGTGGGTCTCGTTCTGACCAAGCTCATGGTAAGGATGCCAGGCTATCGGTCCTGTTCGGGGATGGCGAAGGCAAGGTCCGCCCAGTGACAGTCTAGGTTGGATTTAAATGTGTTGAGTGAGGGTGAGTTGACCACATAGGTTGGAAGGGAATTCCAGTCATTTACAATCCTTGAAGCAAATGCGTTTCTCCTGATCCTGGATTCGGCACGCAGCTTCTTCAACTTCCATTGGTGCCCTCTGGTGATACTTCCGGTTGCTTGGTCAAAGAAGATTTCTGGGTGAATGTCGATGCCAGCATGGAAGATCTGGTACGCCAGGATCATATCGCCTCTTCTACGACGATAATACAATGATGGCAGATTCAGGAGCTGAAGTCTCTCTGTGTATGGTCTGTGTCTGATGTTTCGGACAAGCTTTGTAGCGCGCCTCTGTACACGCTCGACGAGGATTTGGTCCGCACGATTAAAAGGTCCCCATACTGCATTACCATATTCAAGATGTGGTCGCACCAAGGTTTTGAAGAGAATTGGTAGAGTTTCATGATCCAGTTTCTGAAAAGATCTCTTAATGACACCCATGATCTTGCTGGCCCTGGCAGTAGCTGCAGCTGCCTGTTTCCTAAACTTGAGTTCTTGGTCCATCAGGACACCCAGATCCTTCTCCAGAGGAGTTGCTACAAGAATCCTGTCCCGCATTTTGTATGTTTGGAGAGGATTTCCAGATCCTATGTGGAGTACCTTGCATTTCGACTCGTTAAACGGCAGCTGCCACTTCTCGGACCATGCCAGAATGCTGTTAATATCCTCTTGAAGTTTGCTCCTCTCAACTGACGCCTGGTAGATTTTAGTATCATCGGCAAAAATTTTCATCGGGCACTCAGTCACATCAGGCATGTCGTTAATATATATAACAAAGAGCAGCGGCCCCAGGACTGTCCCTTGGGGGACTCCACTTGGAACTGGAACCCAGTCAGAGCATATTCCATTGATAACAACTTGCTGTCTTCTATCGGTTAGAAATGCTCTGATCCACTCAAGGAGCTTACCCCCAATGCCATATGCTTTGAGTTTGGCAAGAAGTCTCTGGTGAGGTACTGCATCAAAAGCTTTTCTGTAATCTAAGTAGATCGCATCTACCGTATGACCATCCTCTACCATTTGGCTCCAGTCATCCAGGGTGTGCAACAGCTGGGCCGTACAAGAGCGTTTGGATCTGAACCCATACTGGTCAGACGATAGCAGCTGATGGGTGTTCAGGTGGTTCATGATTTCTTCTCTAATGATGGCCTCTAGAATCTTGCACGGGATAGCTGTCAAGCTTATCGGGCGATAATTACCAGGGTCTTGTTTTGAACCACTCTTGAAAATCGGTACAACCAACCCCAATTTCCAGTCATCTGGGAGGACACCATCATCCAGTGATTTACGGTAGAGCCCAGCCAAGGGGACTGCAATGGTACTAGCTGTCTCCCGCAAAATTCTTGAGTGCATCTGATCGGGACCGGGTGACCCAGTTATCTTCAGTGCTCTCAACTTGTTCTCAACAATGCCTGGAGATATGGTCACATCCGAGAGTACCTCACCTTCGAACTGGTATGTAGGAAGTGGAATGGAGTTCAGATCCTCAGCAGTAAAAACAGTGCTGAAAAACCTGTTCAACATTTCCACCTTATCCTTGTCTGAGCTTGCCACTACACCGGTACCATCTTGTAGCTCTCCAATTCTGGATCTGGTCTTAAGACGGGAGTTTGTATATTGCCAAAACTTCTTGGGATTCCTCTTGATCTCAGAAGTGAGCTCTTCTTCAAACTGTGCTCGGAGACATCTTGTCAACCGTCTCAACTGGTTTCGGCATCTAGAAAATCTTGCATGATCTACTGGCTCTCTTGTCCTTGTATATGTGTTCCACAGTGATACTTTCTTCCTTCGGAGCTGCAGAGCTTGACTGTTTATATACAGGTTTCTTCTTTTTGGGCATTCCCTGGTGGGCGGGACGCATGCTGTTATGATGCCATCCATGGTATTCTTGAAAAATGTATAGTTGTTCTGCAAAGTCCCATCCACCAATCCATCCCACCTTACGTTGCTTATCAATTCATTCATACGATCAAAACTTGCCTTTTTGAAGTTCAGTTTTGCCATCGTCAAGCTCTGTTTAGCAATGTAGCAGTAGAGGTCAAACCATATAGTAACATGGTCACTGTGACCAAGCCCTGGCTCACATATGAGATTCTCAACCATGCTTTCCTCATTGGTAAGTACCAAGTCTAACACATGGGGTTCAGAACCAGGTCGATATCTGGTTGGCTGGGTCACATGTTGATGTAGGAAGCATCCGTTGATCGTATCAACAAAAGTATGTGAACAGTGGGAATCTGGTGCCCTTGAGAAGGAACTCTCCCAGTCAATCTCAGGGAGATTAAAATCTCCAGCCAGAAAATATCAATGGTATAGACCGAAATCTTTTGAATTAAAACTCCAACCAACAGAAATAAAAATAACTTAATTTATTCCAACCATTTCCTCCAAATAAACAACATAAAAACTCACTTTTACACACATCATTCATAATAAAGCATACTAACACGCCGCTTTTGACAATTGCGGCGTCGAGTGGCGCGCTGCTAGCGCTCTTTTTCGATCGCAGAGACCCTGCACGCGCGCGAGCACACTACGTCACGTCCGGGGGGCACAGGTATATGAAAAATCGCAGTGACGTAACACTTTTCTCGCTTCTCATTGGTCAATAGCCCGTTGCCGGGGTAACGTGCACGTATGTGAGCGCGGGCAAGAGTACTAGCCGGCCGCCGATCAGGGCTCAGTACTGCCCTAACCCACAACAACAACAACAACAACGATTTTTAGGTACTGTAATTATTTATATTTTGATTTATGTGTGAAACAGTTCCTGGTGGGACCCATGACTCATCGGCTCTAAAGGTAGGGTAGGTAGGCCGTAGGTATCTCAATCTAGTACCCAATTATTCTGCATTCACAGTGATCAGTCTAAAAACAAATAAAATTTGTCAGTGTTCCTGAAAAGTCTAATGATTCTATGTCATGTCATCTCAACTCAAGCTGAAACCTCAATAAGACATAGTTTATTGACACATTTGTTTATTGCATAAGACTGCAATAAAGTCATCAGAAATTTACCCCGCGTTCGATGTCTCTCGGACGGCAAAGATTCTACGACGTCCGGCCAATCCCGTTCAAGGTCAGCGGGGGCTCGGCTGCGGTTATGGAACATGATTGGCTGGACGGTGTAGAATCTTCGCCGTCCGAGAGACATCGAACGCGGGGTTAATGGTGTAAAAATGAAATCTCTCAGATTGTTCTTCACAACAGTAGGTAGCTAGTCATTAATTTTAATTTACATGAACATTTCTTGGCAACACTCAGAAAGGCAGGAAATGGAATGCTTTGTTGGAACGTGCTGCCTGTATAGTCTGTTTAAAATGTTGATTTTTGTGCTTTATTTTTCAGCCATTCACCAAGCAACACAGCTATGGATGAGAGTGTGCTTAACTTCAATGTGGGCGTGCTGGGCCACATAGACTGTGGCAAGACATCTCTGGCACGCGCACTCAGCTCAGTGGCCAGCACGGCCAGCTTCGACAAGAACCCACAATCACAGGAGCGAGGCATCACCATCGACCTAGGCTTCAGCAGCTTTAGCGTGCTGGCGCCAGCACACCTGAAGGCAGAGGCGCCACGCCTGAGCACCGTGCAGTTCACGCTGGTCGACTGTCCTGGTCACGCCTCACTGATCCGCACCATTATCGGAGGTGAGCCGCGCCCCGGGCCGGGCCGGGGAGGGGTCCGGGCCGGCGGCTGGGCTCTGCTCCGGGTAGGGCCGGGGAGAGGCCTGGATCGGCAGCTTAGATGGCTCTGTTGGTTGCAGGGTTGCACTGTTCTGGAGCCAGCATCCGGTGCATGTGTGTGGCTTTTTGTGTTTGACTCCAAGTGTGATGTGCTTGTGATTGATGTGCTGTTTTCGAGCATGGTTGTTTGTTTATGTGCTTGTTTATCTGTTTGCTCATGTTTGTCTGTTTGGTTTCGTCTGTGTTCTCAGAAATACCACGGGAGGAGTGTTCGGGGCAGGAATGAAAATTGTAAAATGCAAAGCGATAGGGCAATCATGTTGTCAATTCGAACTCGGTGTCTCAGTGTCGCTAGACCTAAGCAGTAAGCACGAAGTTTCCACGACTTTTCACACACCTCATCACATGACAAAAGCCCAGCAGCACACACAGCACACACACACTGGTGAGCGGAGACAGCACAGCTGGCTGGACGCCGTACACTCGCACACACTCGCGGCCGGCACGGTGTAGTGGCGGGTAGGCCAACAGGAGACAGCAACAGCGGTGACGCATCCGTAGCTGTGTCTGTAAATCCGAAACATTTCACAGTAGACCATTTAAGAGCGGAGGCGCCGTAGAATATTATACTCCCGATCGGTGTTAGTTTCTAGTAGTGGCTGATGAAGTGGTGGTAGAAGCTCAGCTGATGATCGGTGCGGTAGAATCCAGTTCGTGCTGCGGTTTCTACCAACGGTGGTAGAAGCTCGGCTGGTGGCGCCTGTTGCTTTTTACCAGTGGTGGCCGATAAAGTGGTGGTAGAAGCTCGGCTGGTGGTTGGTGCGGTAGAATCCAGTTTGTGTTGCGCTTTCTACCAGCGGTGGTAGAAGCTCGGCTGGTGGCGCCTGTTGGTTTCTACCAGTGGTGGCCGATAAAGTGGTGGTAGAAGCTCGGCTGGTGGTCGCTGGGGTGGAACATGGGCTGCGGTGGCGGCCGCAGCGGGCCGAACGCCGGCCTCAGCTGGCCCAGTTCGCGGTAGAACGGCGACGGCAACTGCTGGCCGCCGAACGTGAACGGCGCGGCGGATATCGGCACCAGCAGCAAGGCCAGCAGCAGCAGCAGCAGTGGCGGCGGCCAGCGGCGGCGGGACATGGCGACGGACTGACCTGGTGACGCCGTCGGCCGGTGCAGCCTGTCGGCCCGGAGTGACGGCTGCCAGTCACCCAAACTGACGGCACCCGCACCGGTTCCCGCGCGGTGGGGAGGGACTCTTAGAGAGCCGAACACAGGGGTTTGTATGTCGATGCGTCTTTCGTGGTGGGCAGGGGCCCGCTCGGGTGTGTTCTACGTGTTCGGGAAGGTCCGACAGTGCACCTACGCGGCCTTTTGTGTGCCAGTGTGTTCTAAGCGGCGGAGACCGGGGAGGGTTCCTCAGACCCTCTTGACGCGTCCTTGTGTGTTTTCTGGGCGGCGGGGAGGGGTCTTCAGAGGGCCTGACGCAGCCTTGAGGGTGTAGCGGCGTTTGTTGCAATGTATTCTTGAACGGCGCCTCTGTGCTGTTTGGCTGTCCGTCAGTGACAAGTGATTGACGCCGCTTTGGCGATAACGGTATTCTACGTATGGTTTGATTCGTGTGCTGTGTATTGTCCTGCTTTACCGCGATGTGTAATCTGTAGTCGATTTACGTTGCTCCGGACGGTATTTTTTTTCTGATTTTTTTTTGTGTGCCTTTCACGCTCACTGCTGATGCTCGGGTGCACTCGTCCTCTCGGGTGACTATCGATGCTCGTATTTCTCGTATCTGTGTCAGTTCTGTAATACGTCTGTCGGCATTTATTTGTGTCAGTCCTGAGAGGCACGGACACTTTCCAAAAACGACCAACAACAAGAGCAGCTGCCATAACCCGGTGCGTGGTCCCCGTTCCAGGCGCGCAGATCATCAACATGATGATGTTGGTGGTGGACGTGACGAAGGGCATGCAGACGCAGACGGCCGAGTGCCTGGTGATCGGCGGCGTGCTCTGCAGCAGGCTCGTCGTCGTGCTCAACAAGACCGACCTGCTGCCGGAGGCCAAGCGCGCCGCCCAGGTCGAGAAGATGACCCGCCGCCTGCGCGCCACCCTGCAGAACACGCGCTTCCGCGACGCGCCGGTGGTGGCGCTAGCGGCGCGACCGGGCGGCGCAGAGGGCGCTGGCGAGGCCACAGGTGAGCCATGCTCGGCCGGCGCTGCCCAGTCGGCAGCAGTTGCTTGCGGGTTACGGACAAAAGTACGTATCGCTAAAGTACGTAGGACAAAAGTACGTAAGCAAAAGTACGTAGGATTAAAGTACGTATCGCAGAAGTACGTACAGTATAAAGTACGTATGGACAAAAGTACGTCAGGGACAAAAGTACGTATCGCAGAAGTACGTACAATATAAAGTACGTATGGACAAAAGTACGTCAAGGACAAAAGTACGTATCGCAGAAGTACGTACAGTATAAAGTACGTATGGACAAAAGTACGTCAGGGACAAAAGTACGTATCGCAGAAGTACGTACTGTATAAAGTACGTATGGACAAAAGTACGTCAGGGACAAAAGTACGTATCGCAGAAGTACGTAGGGTATAAAGTACGTATGGACAAAAGTACGTATAGCTAATGTACGTATGGTAAAAAGTACGTATGGACAAAAGTACGTCACGGACAAAAGTACGTATCGCAGAAGTACGTAGGGTATAAAGTACGTATGGACAAAAGTACGTCACGTACAAAAGCCTACGTATAGCAAATGTACGTAGGGTATACCTAAAGTAGGGTAGCCTTGGGCAAGACGCCCCAGATAATTTATTTTGCTGCATAGTTACCTACTTTTATCTCACATCACCTGGAAGGCCAAATTTGTGCTCAATGTGTTCTTTGGACATTTTACTTTAAATTCCATCCCTCGAATCCATTCACTTATGATCGGACTCCCAGCTAGGAAGTGCTTTGTGAAGCAACTGCAAATGGGGCATTTTGCCCCAACCGTTTGGTATCGCTTTTGTTTGCGTAGCTCTCTTATTTACGGAGTTAGACAGGGGGGGGGGGGGGGCGAAAAACGCCCCTCCCCGGGCTGCGTTGGTTGGAATTACCAGAAGAGAGGATTTTTCCCAGAACCCTGCCAGTTCCGAGAAACATCGGTGAGGCGTTTTACCTCGGCGGGGCGACTTGCCCCGGTCTGCCCTACGTGTGGACAAAAGTACGTCACGGACAAAAGTACGTATAGCAAATGTACGTAGGGTATTAAGTACGTACCCCACCCTTGGGTTAAGTTGATCAATGTGTAATACCTTTCTTATTCTTTATTTAATGAGCATTTGTTACAAGGCATAGCAAAATTTCTCGATGAGTAAATGGGCGAAATGGACAAAGCTATATTATTTGGTATATGAATTTATCATGAGTTCCCTTATAGTATGGCAACAGAGCAGCAAGAAAAAGTGGCTCAACTTACACTACTATACCCTACTTCTAGCATACGTACTTTATACACTACGTACTTTGGCATACGAACCGTACGTACTTTTGGCAACGTACTTTTTACACTACGTACTTTTGCATACGAACTTTTGCGTACGAACATTTGCGTACGTACTTTTGGTATACGTACTTTATACACTACGTACTTTTGCATACGTACTTTTGCGTACGAACATTTGCGTACGTACTTTTGGCATACGTACTTTATACACTACGTACTTTTGCATACGAACTTTTGCGTACGAACATTTGCGTACGTACTTTTGTCATACGTACATTTTACACTACGTACTTTTGCATACGTACTTTGGCGTACGAACATTTGCGTACGTACTTTTGACATACGTACTTTATGCACTACGTATTTTTTCATACGTACTTTTGCGTACGATCATTTGCGTACGTACTTTTGGCATACGTACTTTATGCACTACGTACTTTTGCATGCGTACTTTTGCGTACGAACATTTGCGTACGTACTTTTGGCATACGAACTTTATCGCCTACGTATATTTGCGGACGAACATTTGCATACGTACTTTTGTCCTACGTACTTTAGCGATACGTACTTTAGTCCTAAAATCGTTGCTTGCGATCGTTGCATTACGCCAAGGCATATTTAAAGGCACTTGCTGCGTCCCATTTCTAGGTACCCCTGCCTTTAAACGATGTAGCACCTGCGGATTTGACCCACTGCGTCCCTACCCTATACCCTGTTCTGTAACTGCCCTGTGCCCTGCTCTCTATCCTGCCTTGAGCCCTGTCCTGTTCCCTGCCTTGAGCCCTGTCCATCTGTGCCCTGTTCCTTGCCCTGTGCCATGCTCTCTGCCCTGCTTTGTGCCTGTCCTGTGTCCTGCTCTCTGCCCTGCCCCATACCCTGACCTTGCCCTGTCCTGTGCCCTTCCCTGTGCCCTGTCCTATATCCTGACATGTGCCCTGCCTTATACCCGATAGTTTGTCAGCGGTTTGTATACCTGTGGGTGTGCGCACCAGGCCGACACCCATACGCGCTTCTATATACTCGCATATGCTATAAGTGCCCTGTCGTGAATCGTAGCATCGTAGCATATGCCCTCTGCTCAACTTCGGGACGCAGTGACAATTTGATACAAATGCCCCGCATGATGTTCACAGTTCATTGCCTGATAAAACCAGTAAAACGACTTTGGGGACGACCAACGGAACGAGCGATAGGGTGGGCCTTGCACGTGCGAACTTGCGAGGGGGTGCCGCCAAGTTCCAACTAACTTGTGCATTGCACCCTACTAACCGGTCCCTAGCGATGTGCCAAATTTGAGCGCAATCGGCCTAGCCGTTTTCGAGATCTGGAAGCGGCAACCTGCACGTGCGCACGTGCAAAATGGGTCCCAACTGACTTTTGCACTGTACTCTACTAACCGGTCTCTAACCATGTGCCAAATTTCAGCGCAATCGGTTCAGCCGTTCTCGAGATCTGGAAACGACCCCTGCACGTGTGCACGTGTAGCAGCACCCCAACTGTGGCACATGGAAATGCATTGCCTAGTGTGTGCCTACCTACATGCCAACTTTCAGCGCAATCGGCCTAGTAGTTACCGAGATATTGCAATTGTTACAAAACGAACACCTCTTCGTTTTGCACGTTGCACGTTCATAAGGGGTCACCCACATGCATCGGGAATAGTCCAATACTTGGTAGTAGGAATGAAGCTACCCTACAAAGATTACCGCATGTAAATCGGTCAAGTGGTTGCTGAGATGTAAGCCTCGCAAAAGCGTCCGCACGGCCGGCCGGCCGCTCATACTCAGAAATTTCCGTTAATCTACGAAAGACTCCGCTCGCTTCGCTCGCTCCGTAATTATTGTCGTCTAGGTGTTTTCCTGAAGATAAATATCTCACTTCAGCTTTCGCTAATTTTGCTAGCAAATTGGGCTAGTGAAGACTTGAAGAGCCATCTCAGGACACTCGGTGATGGCTGACAGCCGTTGGATAATTTTCACACACTTTAATTATCTTTGTTGGTTACATGCTAGCCGGACACGACGAACGTGTAGAGGCGGGCAGATCTTGCACAGGAACGGGCCAAATTACTGAAGTCGAGCATGTGCAGATAATTATATAGAGGGCAACCTGATCCTGGCGAGGGTAGGCGGCTAGCGGGAAACTCGACGAAAATATAGTGTATTATTTGGACATCATGTTTCACATTTTGTGTCTGCGCACATGTGGACTGTGGAGCCTCGCTCAGCAGGGGACCTTCCCGACCCCTCCCCCCCTTCTGGCCATATATTCCCGATAACCGACCAGCCTACTGCTGCAAAGAAAAGTCACTGGATCTAGTAAATGCTATTACATCTCCTGAGGCCTGTTTACACTATCGATCTGGTGCATTTGCCCGCCTGATCCAGACACTGGTCTACGCTAGCGGTGATTTCCTACCTTCTGTATCATCTTACCTTTGTTCTTATAGCTCCGGGTAGACCGTCGGTTTTCCAATTTGTGGATCTTCACGTCACACAGGTCTCTCACTGTCGCTGTTGCGGTGACCACTGCGATGATTGCATTGCGGTGTGCCTGGCGGTCGAGCGTTGCAGGGGAGGGGAGATGCCTTATCATGCTGTGATCCCGTCGACCTTTGCTGGGCTCCTCCCTTCCGCCGCGCGCGCTGCAGCGGCGGACGGACACGCACCGCTGCACAGCGTGGCCGAAAACCAGTTTAGCGCGAATGTAATTCCAACGCCTCTCGGACCCTCTGGAAGTGGTTCTCTGGTTCCTAAATTGACACTTAAACCTTTGTGAGCTCTTTTGCGATACATTTCAAGTGCTTGCTTAGTGCTTACACGTTACGACATATTTAGGGGAGAGTGGGGCAAAGCGGCCACCCGGGGCAAAGCGGCCACCCATCGTTTTAGCCCTTCATAGCTGGCGTCAGTTCCAATTTAAGGTTGCCAATTTAAGTTCTCTTCACGGTCGTTCGAACGAGCCAGACCGGGGTTTCAGGCCTATCACCATTGTTCTGTGAAACACGGAAAAGCATTTCTTGCCAGGTTACCAACTATGTTTACAATTTTTAAATGTTATGTTATTCCATAACCGTTTGGAATTTTTATAAGCGTTCATGCCAATGCATTGCATGGTTATCGTACATGTATTCTACCAATTTTAATGTTTTTTACCCCACTAATAGCTAAGCTGGAATATTTTTGTCTCGGACGGTATGCGCGGGGCAAAGTGGCCGGGGCAAAGTGGCCACCCCCCAATTGGCTATAAGTTGCTTCCATCTGGATACAAACATTATTTATATTCAAATGTGTCGTCATGCATTCATCTTGGCCACTTTTCAGTTGCATGAGTTACCAAATAATGCAATTAAATGTTTATTCTCATGAAAATCCTTTCTTTGTTTACCTACAGGTGGAAGATAATAAAGTAAACATCCATCCTCGCTTAACCTTGTCACCATCAAATACCCTAGTCGTACACGAGGCAACTATTTTGTTTCTCATATCGGGACTTGAGAAGACGCCGGTGGCCGCTTTGCCCCAGGGTATGGGGCAAAGTGGCCAATATGCATAGGTTTAAAGTTTTGTCAATATCTTTCATATGTGAACGCCTTTGGAAATAAAATGCAGTTGAAATAAAAGGCAACTTAATAGGGATCACATTGGTATAGAAAGAATCTTTCCAAGTTTAAAAATCAAGCGTTGGCATCGTGAGAAGCGTTAGGGTGGCCGCTTTGCCCCACTCTCCCCTACGTCTCTTTACACACGAAAAAAGGGCGAAGAGCTTGCTCACGACGGGAGATGCATTTCAAGGGCTGGGGAGACTATAGCTTTTCCGGCCTCCGATTCCGACTCCGACATTTGCTTCCCAAAACCAATGCCGACTTTTACTCAGTGCAAAACTGTCGACTCCGACTGACTCCGACCAGGACTCTGCAGCCCTGGCCGTTCTGCAGAGTCGATGGATTTTCGGTGACTCTGACTCCAACTACGGCCCCCAGCCTTCAAAATCGACTCCGGCTCCGACTGTGGCTCCGACTCCGATCGAAATCGTTTACTCTGAGTCACTGTGACCCCGACTTCGAAGTCCTCAGTCATTTGCCAGCAAATGAAAGGCGTAAGATGACAGAAAAAGTAGATGGTGCTGTGCGTTGTGGCCCTCCAGAAACGGTTCCTGCATCTGCTTCAGGCTGGTCGCGGTGTGACCTGCAACTGCAGCTCTTATTTGTGCCTGGTGCGGCAGAAATAGCCTCCAGCGACCACAGAAACGCAGCCTGGGCTTTTTGTCAGATTCTTGCATCATCGCTGAATACCTGCCACCAAAGGCTCAGCGGACTTTCAGACAGTCCAGTGCCGTAAGCGTTCATGATGATGCCCTTCAACTACTAAGAGCCCTGATTGACGCTTCTTCCTAACCAATCACCATAGACCTATGTAGCCCAGACATATAGACTGCAGGTGCAGAGGTCGATGTTAAAACATATAAAACTTTTACCATACAGTCTCGTAGAAATGGAAGCAATTTACTTTAGGAGGTTTCCTATCACTTCTTTAGTTAATTCCGTACGGGCCGCAAGCGTTCCGCATAGTGGACGGCGGCCTTTACTCCTTATCATTGTCTAAAGCTTGCTTGACGAAAAATCGACGCTTAGTTTATTGTCTTGATGCAGCGTTTGAATCGTTAGACGGTTCCTGAAGGCTGAAATAATTACAGGCATCGGTAGGACTAAACATCAGCAACAGGAGTGAAAACAAACACTGACACTATAAGCACCCTCATTCATTGCAAAAATTGTCTGAAATCATTCACTCGCAACAATGTAGGTACATACTGCAGTATGATAGCCCAGAAGTAGAGCGTATCAGCCATCCACGTACCATTATTGGGCCGCCGCCGCGCCCGCCTTGTGGCCGGAACTCGGGGGGGGGGGGGGGGGACCAGCCCGACACGTTCAAAGCTGAGCCAACGGCCGGGGGCAAGTTGGGGCAGGGTTTCTTAAATGGAACATATGCAGAAAAGTGTGGCGAATCTTCTCATGGTAGGTTTGGCGTGGATTTTTTGCCATTTTCTTATATCTCTACCGTTTTTACGGCGGCCCACGTTTTCATGGGATATCTGCAAAGGTTATTTTTAGATGAGATAATTCATCTAGTCCAAGAAACCCATCAAGTTTGGCTGTACTATTAAATATTAGCTTATTTATCATGTGCAATGTCATTTATTTCCAAACCTCTTTGACAACTATGCCAAAAAGTGTTGTGAGCATGACGCGGGTTTTTCACGATTTCATCTCAGCAACGACTACCACTGCGTGTACGTACAGTCGGGTACAGGTTGATGGTCCACTACTCTTTACCCACCGGGTTCCTATGGCTCAGCATTGGCAGCAGCCGCCTGGTACCGGTAGGCTGTGCCGCATGACCCGAGAGTGAAACGGCACAGTCTACCCACGCCGTTTGACATCGGCTCGGGTCGCCGGGTGGAGCGCTTTGTAGACCAGCTGTTGCGTCAGACAAGCGCGGGGGGAGGGGCTCGTCTCAGTGGTTGGCGTGGGCTGGCGAGTGGTGTGGGGCGTGTTGGTGGACCATGGGGGCTGGTCGGGTGTGTGTGGTCACTTGCTGCATTGCACATTTTGCGTCGCTTAACCCGCGCCCCGCTGGGGGGGGGGGGGCAGAATCTGCCCCCCTCCCGTTTTTCGCCAAGAACTTCTAAACGCGTTACGCCAGCGACGTCAAACTTTCAGTACCTTATCATACATCAATTTGACACGTTCCCTGAAAATTTGAGCGAAATCCGTCGGAAAATTTTTGAGAAATTGACGTTTTTGTGACGTCATGTTCGCCATTTTCGCCTCAAAAACGGCAAAATTTCAAACGCCGCTAACATCTTCATTTTTAAAGGAATCAAGACGTAACAAAGAAAAGGTTATACGTGATTCTACTTTGTCTATCAAATGGCTATCTCGGTTTTTTGAAAATTTTGGATTTTGGCCCAAATTTTTTCAAAAAACTAATTTTTTGGGAAAATAATGATAGAATCCAAAATTTTGGGTGTATCGCAAAAACCGGAATATATGTCAGAGAAGTAGTCTATGTGCACCTACATACCAATTTTTAGAAGAATCGGTTCAAAAATGTGGGAGTTATTCAAAATTTTATGACGTCACGACACACAAAAATTTTGAAAAATGATTTTTTGGAAGTTCTAGACCTCGTACGGAAACAAAAATAGCACCATTCGATTCGCCGTGAAAAACTGCATCGGATAGACACCTTTTTAGGCCTTAACAACCAACTTCAAAATTTGACCTCACTTGACCTGACCTTGACCTGACCTCGACCTGAAATTCATCCAGAGGTGGTCCATATCACTTATTGAGTGTGCCTATTGAATTCTATGAGTAAAATGACCCATAAAACATGTGTCGCACATGCCCTTTTCTATATTTTGTTTTTGGTGACCTGACCTGACCTGACCTTGACCTTGACCTTTGAATGACATTGCATGCAACGAATATTGTCTTGGTAGTCTAAGAACACGTTTTGGGCAATCAGTCTCAGTCCATTCTTCGGCAACTACGGTGCAAGGCCGATACTGTAGAAACTTGCATTTTATACCCTTGACCTGACCTTGACCTGACCTCTGACCTACTTAAGCAAAAAAATTTGGGCTCTTTAGATCCGCCTTGTTGAGAGCTTTCGATTGCCGTTTTCCCCGTCTTTCTACGACCATCGGTTCGGAAGTTAGACAGGGGGGCAGAATCTGCCCCCCCCCCCCAGCAGGGCGCGTATGGCTGAATAGCCCAGCGGGGCGCGGGTTAACAATTGCATTCCTGTTTTTGCTAAGCACAATGCACGGAAGACCCAGCGAATATGATTTACTTTACTTTTGCATTGTGCAATACGTGATTTGGCACGGTATCGAGGCAACGGTCTTGTGCCTATGCATGATATTTAGGCAATACGCTTATGGATTGATGCTGGATGTCGATGCGTATGCTAAATGTGGCACGCATTAAATGAATGAATGAATTAATCAATCAATCAATCGATCGATCAAACAATCAATCGGCATGTATAAAACCGTATAAATGGCTCGCAACCACTAATAGCAATCAAACCATCCTAACTCGGAAAAGCAGCCGGAGCCCTGACGAGGCTCGAACCGGGACTCCACGCTGTAAGTCTTTCCAATGATCCACCATCATTCGACCAAGCTAGAGCGACCGGCACTCGAACCCACAAAAGCATTAATTGACTTTGCCGCCGACCTCCCGGCCCCGCCGCCCGCCCGGCCAGACTTTGCCCCGGGCATAGCCACCATCCGGTGTAGCTCAGCGTAGGAGCGCTCGACTGTCAAACTGACCGGTAGTGAGGGGCCCGGTTCGAAACGCTTGGCACGCTGGATATTTATTTCTCGGTGGGAGGCTTTGCGTTTAGTCCACTTTTCAGAAAGATTATTTGGTGACTGACCTGTTTTCTTTCTTTGCTGCAATTCATGAGGAGACCGTATGCACCCTTACCTGTCCTTCCGCACCCCACTTGGGAGATGGGTGGTTACCGGTTGACCCCCCCCCATGGGCTTTGTGAATATCTCTAAAACGAATTTTTGGAGTGGGGATGCGACAAGTGACCACACACGCCCAGCCCCAGGTCCGCTCACTCCCTCCCCACATCACCCCCTCCCCACAACACTCCAGCCCGCCTCATCCACCGAGCCGAGCCAAATCGACAGGCCTGACCCTTACCCCCCTCCCCCTCCCAGCCGGTCTGACGCAGCGTCCGGTCAAATCGCTCTACCAGGCGACCCGA